GTTGAAATATTTCAACATGATATTCATATATATATATATATATATCTATATATATATATATATATATATATATATATATATATATATATATATATCTTTGACTATGTTCTATTAAACCAAACAATCTAAACCTTTAGACTCAAAACGAAGTATGAGGGCCCTCTCCCTTAAGTCCACTATGGCGAAACAATTCCCAAAATTTGCAAATTGCAAAAACAGACACATTGTTTTCTACGAACAATATTGTCAACATCTAATACCAACATAACAGTTATGCTCCAACTAGCTTTGATATGTATCCAAAAATCAACTGAAATCCTAGAAATCAATACCCTTTGACTTTCTTACATAAGTGCAGATTTCTGTTACAAGATACTTCGATAAGTCTCTAACTAGATTTCTTAAGCTTATACACCTTAGTTGGATAGTGTGTATGCGTGTGTGTGTGTGTGTTTAAAATCTTCAAGACTTGATCGATACATCTCTCGAAAGTTTAAACAATTCCTTGTCATCCCTCACAATTCAAAATATGAAGAGGAAGGTCGTATTTAGCTTCGACGAAGTGGGAAGTTATGTGAGCTCAGGACTGCCGACGTGGCACTACAAACACCACGTTGGATGCTCGACATATCGATGTTTTTTCTATTTCTAGGCAAGAATGTGTTGTTTCTCTTTCCTCGACAAATATGGGGTGAGGGTTTTGGCTTAGATGGGTTACACTTTGGATGAGCTGGAGCTCGGTGAGCACGACATCGCTCTCATCGGCCTTAAGGCTATGTTCGGTATGTTACAACTAGTTTTATTTTAGCTTTTTTTGAACATTTTTATGTTTGACAAATCAAAAAGTAACTTATAAAACAGTTTATAAGCTAGTTTTTTTAAAAAAAGTTACAAGAGCTTGTTGTGGTTTTTTTTTTTTTTTTAAATTCTCCCAATTATTCTATTTATTAATTATAAAAAAAAAATCAATCTTCTACATGTTTCTTATGTCACTTTTACATATTTCAGTTAACTTATTAGTTAGTTTTTTTTCAAACATCATTTTTTACTAGCTAGCCAGTCAAATATATCGTAAAATAACTTAACTTTTTCAATTGGTTTTTTGGTGACATATTATTATGGCATCAACAACAAAAAATTAACATACCGTCAACATATAAAAAAGAAAATTTAAATATTCTTCTAATTTTCTTCTTATTTATCTTCTATCAATGTGAAATAACGACAAATATATTATCAAAATACAACCCTTCTCATTGTTTCTAGACAAAACTACAAAGATGATCTATGCGGTTTACCAAATGTCACAACCTAATCACTGCTAATTTTTTTGACGAACATGATCATTATGGTATCTAAAACATATATGAATGACAATTTTTGCTGACGTCGTTAATGTTCATCCGCTAGTGTGAGGGTATTTTGGTCTTTTCAAGTAGCAGGGACTGAGTTTGTAACTATGGGTAAACAATAGGGACCATTTATGTAATTTTTTTATATTTTATGTTTATGAGTTTGTGACTTTTCCACCATTTAATTTTGAAAATATCACTTTAAACCTTTCACTTTGAACTTTTGAAAAATATTACTTTCACCAATTTATTTCCTAAACTTTCGTGATTAACCCCGTATTATATATAATTTGATTTTTATTAATAACTTTCGTTCATTAACCTAAAAAAAAAAAAAAATTTTACGTGTTTATTTTTATATATTTTTCAGTATAATTCAAGGTGGTTAGCATTTCGATTTTAATTTAGAACTTTCTTTCGTTAATTTTTCTTTTTAAAAAAAATTACATGATTTTTTCTAAAGTTGTTGGTTTAAATTCAAGTTTGTCTATATTTCAATGTAATTTTTTTTTCGTTTTTGTGTTTAACTTTAAGTACATTTGTTACGTATCAGATGTGTCATATAAATAACTTTCGTTTGTTAATTTTAAAAAACATATTATATTCGAATTTGTCTATGTTTCGACATAATTTTTTTTACATTGTTGTGTTTAATTTTATGTACATTCCTACGTATCATCCGGGTTACATATAATAACTTTCGTTCATTAACTTAAAAAAATTTATTATCATCGAGTTTGTCTACGTCTCGCGAAACGTATTTTTTTAACGTTTTCATACTTAATTTTATGTACATTTCATACATATGACTCGGGTCACATATAATATGTTTTTGATTATTAAAGTTTTCGTTCGTTAACTTAAAAAATCTTATTTATTTTTATGCACGTGTCGATAGAAATTTGTTTTTTTTTTATGTTTCGATGTAATTTTTTTGTATGTTTTGGTGCTTATTTTATGTATGTTCCTGCGTATGAGTTGGTTCACATATAATAGATAAAACCATAATTATAAACATTGGATTTTGTAAGTGGAATTTTGACGATTGTATTGATAAAAATTACGTTTCGACGTAAAAAAACACGAACGAAAAAAACACGTACACAAAAATAAGCATGAAACATAAAAAAATTTGCATCAAAATGTAGACGAGCTCGAATCTATACCGATACGTAAAAAAACATAAAAAAGTTACATCGAAACGTAGACAAACTCGAATATAATACATTTTTTTTAAACTAACGAACGAAAGTTATTATATGTGACCCGAATGATACATAAGAATGTATATAAAATTAAGCATAAAAATGTATATAAAAAAACGTCGAAATGTAGACAAACTCAAATATAATACGTTTTTTAAAATTAACAAACACAAAGTATTATATGTGACCGTCTCATACGTAGGAAACGTACATAAAGTAAAACACAAAAACGAAAAGAAAAACTACGTCGAAACCTAGACAAAATCGAATTTAAATCGACACGTTTATAAAAAAAACCATGTAGTTTAAAAAAATAACGAAAGGAAGTTATAAATTAAAGTCGAAACGTTGACCACCTTGAATTATACCGACAAATATAAAAAATAAACACGTAAAAATAGTTTTTTTAGGTTAACAAACGGAAGTTATTAATAAAAATCAAATTATATATAATACGAGGTTAAACACGAAAATTTAGAAAATAGAAAGGTAAAAGTAATATTTTTCAAAGTTCAAAGTGATATTTTAAAAAATAAAGGGGTGACAAAGTTACAAATTCATAAACATAAAATATAGAAAAATTACATAAATGGTCTCTATGGTTTACCCATAGTCACAAACTCGGTCTCTGCTACTTGAAAAGACCAAAATACCTGATACTAATGGATAAATAGTAACGACGTCAACAAACAGAGCCATTCATGCAAATTTTGGAAACTATATGGACCATATTCGTTAAAAAAATTAACAGGGAATGAGTTTGTTGCTAAATGGACCATTTTTATAGTTTTTTTTCCCTCTAATAACTAAAAAGATAAATAGATAGATATTAATTGTAATTTATTTGTGTTTAATAACGTTAAAAATAATAAAGCAGTATTATATATACTATTAACTAGAAAGGTTACCCCCGCTACGCGGGGGCCAGAAGCTTTCAATGTTGTTTCCGAATTGATAAATATGACAAACATAGAAAGTGTAAGGATGAAAAGTCCGGGCTTTGCCCCGGACCGTTTTTTTCATGTTTTTATGAAAAAATGTAAAAGTTTTGATTGCAAGGACCAGAAGTGTCAAAATGGCTAAAGAATTAAAGGGGTGAGAATTAACAACTTTTTAGAAAAGGGATCAAAGTTGTCAAACCATTAAAGTTTTGTGGCCAAACTTTAAATATTAAAAGGTTCCAAAAAAGTGTAAAAATATTGATTGCAAGGACCAAAAGTGTCAAAATGGGTAAAGAATGAGGAGCAAAGTTGCCAAAAAACATCCAAATTTAGTATTCCTAACTTTGAAGCCCAACAATAATACAGGGACCAATTCTGCCAAAAAAATGGCAAGTTCACTATTCCTTTTCTTCATAACTTTAATATATATATAATAATTGCTAAAAACTTGAGGAACAGTAACTTTTCCTCTCTTTCTTATTTGCACACGTTAGTCTTCTCCTTTCTTATTTTGGCCACTGGAACTTCCGATTTTGCTGGTGATTATCTTCTTTTCCTCGCTGGAACTTCTGCTTTGCTTCGTGATTATCTTCTTCTCGTCTAGGTCGGTTGCTGCCTTTCTCCTCCAATGCGGTTCGTTTCTGTTTTCTTTATATTCTTCTTTGCTTCTTTGATAGTCGTAAGCTAGAGGCTTCATTTTCTCAATTCTTTCCCACGTCGTCTCTCTCCCTCAGTGACTGACGTTCGAGCTGTTGCTAGTGATCGACGAATGATAAAGGAGCAGCAGTCGGCGACCAGTCCCAAGTTACCTCCGACCACGTATTTCTTTCATATATCTCAATTTCGACATCCGTGTTTTCTTTCAAGTTCCGAAATTCATCCAACCAAGCCTGTGAGATCCTCGACGCGACGAAGACGATCGAATTCCAATTGATGCAGATGAAGATATACCGACCCCTATTTTCTTTTCTTTTTTTGATTTTGCAGTCTACATATGATGTCCACCGCTTCTCTCTCCGATCGTCAACCATCTACCTTATTTCCTTCGATTCAACCTATTCATCGTAATTATAAACATGTGTTCTCTCCAACTCCTACACCCAAAAAACCCCTCTTTGTTTCGGGGTTTTTTCAATTGCTGAACATCTGTTCTCTGTGCAACATGTCCACCAACTTCGCACAATCTTACAAGAACTTCAATTGCTGACCATCTGTTATGTATCTCTGTGTGTAGGTATGTGTATCTGTGTGTTCGTCTCTTATATGTAGGTGTTTATATCTGTGTATTTGTGTCCTTTTCAAAATTTAGTTACTTTGTTGTTTTTTATTGCAAGCTGGTATTACACAACTGCAAGCATCGAGACCAGAAGATTAGAAGAATTCCCAATTGAAGGTTTCTACTTTAAGGTAGCTATACCTAATTTATCTTCTCTTATATTCTGTAATTTGAGTTCTTGAAAAGATAAAGCTATGTCTCAAAGGTCTATGCCGACTCCCCCTTCATGTCAGACCCTAATCTTGAACCATGTTATTATCTCCACGAAATCAAATCAATGACTTTACTTACCTCAGGAACAAAGGGGAAGCAGAAAACACCGACTCCACCACACCGGTTAATTTCAAGTGTTGAGGTGAACGGCTCCGTAATACCCACAAACTTGATTCAGTCAGTTTTCTCTACACACGTTGACTAACTCTATGTTTAACATGTGATTGAATTATGTAGCATATTGTTTTGTCGCGGTTGAATTTGTTGCTAGACAGGTTCTGTGACTTTTCTTGAGCGACCGAAGGAGGATTTCACTAAGAAATATGGAGGTGGGAAAGTTGCTACAACTGTTGGTAACAGTCTTAACAAAGAATTCGGGTAATATTTCATTTTGCTTTCATTCTCTAATCTCTAATATCCCTCTTGTACAACTAATAATCTAAAATATACTCACACATCATTGTCTCCGCTCCCAATCTGAAGTAACAGACGCAGTATTGTGTAGACCATTCAGAAGATATCAACAACATTGCAACGGTGAAAGCCTAGGTTTCAGAGGTCAAGGGTGTGATGATGGAGAACATTGAGAAGGTAAAACTTATTAGTTGTTTTATCAGATAATGGAACACATTACCCCTTTTTGATGTATTGTATCATCATCATTATTATTATGATTATTAGTGTTTGTATCATTTTTAATCTGTAGGTTCTTCATCGTGGAGAAAAGATTGAACTTCTGATGGATAAATCAGAGAACCTTCACTCTCAGGTCAGTAAATCTATACACATATTATTAAAATCACGCCTCAAATGCAAAAACTGAATCTCACGAGTCGTGTCATGTAAAGAATGTTAGGGTCGATTGAAGAAGAGACGATGAGGAATTGTTAATGATTATGGTTGGTGACTCAGTTTTCGCATTACTTTCGTTTGAAGTCTTGTCAGAAAGCTGATCCATCTTCTTAACCAGTACCATGTAAGTACAATTCAACTAGTGTTTGGGTGCAAAACACTATAAAAAGGTTTTTATGGGTGAACAACTCAATTGAAGGTTTCAAGGCTTTATTAATATTTATTTTCTTAATTTACAGCTGGTGGAACTATGCTCAGGCCTTACCTTTGGCTTTAGTTAAGCTTTATTTATGTTTGGAAGACATCAATAACAAAATAAGCACACCTCTGTTCTATTGAAGTTTTCATTTTGATTTTCTTCTGAATGCATTTTAGTTAGACTATAATTAGGGCCAGAAATCTACAAGTGACAACTAATTTCATATTATCAGATAGGGGCGAGCAAGGAAGAGAAACAAAAACCCCATCTTCAGAAACCAAGTATGTTTATGATGATCAGGTTTAATATTCTTTTTAATTATTAATTGATGATTACCAATTTTTTTTATTTGGCTATAAAGGTCAAAACTTTAAGGTGCTTACTTTTCTGTATTTCCTTCTAAACCCAGGGTGCAGTTGAAGCATGTGCAACCTGAAATTTATATGCTATAAGATCACAAGGACAAACTGCAGGTAAGTTAAGTGGACTATTATAATTTTTTTTCTTTTTTCCCGTTTTCTTTCTTCCACGGTCTTATTTTCATTCAATTTCAAGTTTTTGATAATTTGCTTTTGATGTTTTCCCCTAATTTCAGGTGAGCAGAGGAATATGTAGAACGTATTATTCTTATTAGAAATGGTAGTCTGGGATACTAACGGTGTCCCAAATAATCATCATCAGCATCAGATGGTTGTTGATGCCGTCAATCATCAGGGATCAGGAACAAGAAGAAGATGGTTTTAAAAGAGAAATGTGTGATTTAGCTAAAATGCTATCAAAATTGAATCGTATGGCTGCAGAATTTGTGCCCCTTTCATTCTCCAACAACCATGCTAGCCCCTTTTTATTTTCACCATCTCCTACTTCTCACTTTGATTATGACACCATCAAAATTTCCTGTTCCAAACTAATACTACATCAGCTTTCATCAACACCATCAAAATTTCCTTTTCCTTTATCCAGGAGGTGGTAGGCGGGGACAACAATTAACTCGGCGTCAAAACTAATCATTTTCGTTTCTATCTCAGGTTCTGAAAAATGAATGATTTACAAGTGCTCATTATGTTAAAAAATTGTGCATTTTTTACATTAACAGGTGTTATATTTCCTTCAATATTGCAACTCGAAAGTGGGATAACATATTTGGAAGAGAGGAAACAAAAAGAAATATACTCAAAAAGATATTCACGAAAAGAAGGTTTTGATAAGGGAAAACTCTCGGATGCTGATGTAGAAAGAGAAATCGAATACAGGATCTGCATGGAAACAAATAGTAGAGTTGTGTTGCTGGATTGCATCCATTCTTTGTGCTTCAAGTGCTATCGAGATTGGTAAGTTTCTCTCTTACATCTACTAAATGGGTCCCATAATTACATGTAATAACACAATGTAAATACTAAACACATTGTTATTGGTAAAAATATAAGTACATTGTTATTATGATAGAAAAATAAAGTATGTTGTCTATATATTGGTAAAAAGAGTAAGGTATGTTGTTATTTCCTTCACTTTGGCCTAATCATATTCCCATTGGTTGTTTAGGCATCAACGATCGAGATCATTAGTGGATCAAATGGAGTATTTAAGGCCATCCGATGCTTAAGTTATCAAGATTTTATTGTTTGTGGGTGCCTGAACTCCACTTTTTCTTTAGTACAAGTCAGAGAGATGCATATGATTCTTTAGTGTCTTGTGCTATCCAAAAATCACCTGTATGTTAAATATATCTTCATCAATATAATGGTATGTTGCAGTACATATACAACCTGAAAGAACAAAAAAAATATATATGACTCAGCGCCAACGGGCGCACATGATTCCCATTTAGTTAACTATTAAGTTATGAAATATAGAAAGAGTTTGTAAATTTACAGGCATAGAAATTGAAAAAGTTTTAAATGAAAAAAATTAAGCAATATCTTTTTTTTACTTTATCAAACTTATTTAATACAACATGCTTTCAAAAAACTTCTACTAAGATGCTGCTATTTAAAAAAAAAAAAGAGATGGTGCTATTATGCAAGAAGTATCAAGTTGGGCCAGACCCCTGGATGTGAACCCTCCTCTCTCCCATTCACATACTTAGGGGTCCCGGTTGGAGTCAATATGAACTTGAAAAAAAACTAGGTACCAATTCTGGACAGATTCCAATCCAAATTATCAAAATGAAAGTCAAAAACCTTATCTTTTGGCGGCAGATTGACACTCATCAAGTCAGTTTTAGGAAACCTTACATCATATTACCTTTCCTTATTCGTGGCACCGGAGGGCATTATTGACACACTGGAAAAGATGAGGAATCGGTTTCTTTGGGGTGGATCAGATGAAAAGAAAGTGATTCACTGGATCTCGTGGGACAAGGTTACAGCATCCAAGGAATATGGTGGTTTAGGTGTTGGTACAATAAAAGCTTTAAACGTCTCTTTAATAACTAAGTGGTGGTGGAGGTTGAAAACTGAGCTGAATCAGTTATGGGCTGCTGTGATAACGAGTGTGCATAATCTAAGGTCGAAACCTGATGTATGTTACTCAGCAAAGTCACTACCAGGGGTATGGAATAATATAGCAGGAATTGAAAATGATCGAAGGAAAACGGATATCCAAGTCAAGACATTGTTAGATAAACAACCGACCGGATTCATTTGGAGATGTGGGCTTACCCCGGATGGATGTTTCACTGTGAATGCTCTCACACTAAGGTGGGACTACCGGCCTCCAGTGACCAATACGAACTTTCAATGGATAAAAGAAATCCCACTGAAAGTCTCCTGCTTCATTTGGAGAGCAAATTTGGGCAGAATTCCAACATCTATGGAGTTAGTAAAAAGAGGGGTAAATATTGATACTTTAATATGCCAGATGTGTGATGAAAAAGAAGAAAGCGCTGATCATGTTCTTGTAGATTGTTCTTATGCACAGATGGTCATGGAAGGAATAATGAGGTGGTGTAAGGTGAATATAAACATGGAAGATCTTCGAGCGGTGTCGGATGTTTTGAACTTTGCCAACCGATGTGGAACATGCACAAAAAAGCGAAAGATATTCCTGGCAATTTGCTACTCTACACTATAGAGAACCTGGATAGCAAGGAATGATACTGTTTTCAAAAAAAAAAACCGGCTACCACCTGATAAAGTCATCGATTATGTTAAATCTATGACTTTTATTTGGATGAAGAACAGTGGTATCAAGATGGAGTTGATTTGGGCAAACCGGTCTCAATGCCATTTTTTCTATTAATTTGTATGTTTTTTTCTTGTTTTTCTATTTTGACAATCTGTATTGCCACTGCCACTGATGTGTGGTTGTAACTCTTTTCTCCTGTTTTCCCTTTTTATAATATATTTGTCGGTTCCAAAAAAAAGAGATGCTGCTATTAAAGCGAGAAAAGTATGTAATTAAGTTATTGACAAATGTAAGAGGTCAGGTAAAGCCTTTTCCAAATCAATGTACAAGTACCTATGCATTATATACAACTCACATCAACAAACTTTAATAATACCATGGCCAACTATCAATGGCAACAAAAACTGCCTACTTCCTAAAATGCCACAATTCATCCATGTTCCAAGATGTGCTAGCCAATTCATCATCTTTCATCCAATCTACTTCTGTAAGCTGGAATTCTGGAGCCGACATGTCACCAGGTCCTACTGCTTGCATGTCCAAATGGATGAAGTCCATGTCAAATTCACTGAGATTCACATGGTAACAGTCGTTGTATTGGCGTGATGAGCCGTAGTAAGCGATTTCTCCATTAGGGTTTGTTTGAAGATTTAAATGTTCAGGAAAGACCATAGCTGTGGAATCTGTGGAACAAATGCTTGAGCTCGGATTAGGGTTGTCGTTTTTATTTGAAAGCGAAGAAGATGTTACTGATGACACTATTAGAGTTTGTTCGGTTTGTGGTGAAGTGCTTAAGTTGTTTTGATCTGTCTCAGATGTTGACGTACAAATAGATGATGACGATGCGGATGAGTTTTGTTCAACTTGTTCAAGTAATCTTGGCATCCAAAATCGCCGAAGTGTTTCCACAAACCTCTTGCTATTGGAGTCGATCTTAAGGTGGCATGCTTGTTTGTGTACCTTTGTTCTCCAGTAGTTTTTTATCTCGTTATCTGTTCTGCTTGGCAAGTGGCGTGCAATTTTCGACCATCTTGAAGACAGAAAACAATAATAAATTAGATCATCTTAAATTCGTAACATAACACACACAAATATATATTGGCATACGTGTAGTCTCACCTATTACCCCACTTGGAATGTAGTTCGAGGATTAAGATTTGTTCTTGTGGGGTAAGATTTCCGCGCTTAATATCTGGTTTTAAATAATTCAACCATCTCAATCTGCAACTTTTACCGGTTCTTTTCAATCCTGTCAAAAAGAGAGATGAAAAGAACACAAAGAAGACTATATCAAAACCTTTGTTAAAGAAGACAACATATATACGACCATAAAATTCACGAAACACGAATAAATGGTGTTGTTTTCATGTTTTATGTACCTGAAGATTTTGCTAGGGCGTTCCAACGGCCTTCACCATGACGAGTGATGTAATTGATAAGAAGATTGTCTTCCTCGAGTGTCCATGGCCCTCTTCTTAGCTCATCCAAGTAGTTCTCACTGCAAGAGCTGTTCATCTTCTTGTTGGTCGATCTTTGTGAAAGTTAAAAAGAGAATGAAAAGAATTAGGGTGTTAGAGAAGTAAGTGGAGGTCTACATACTTATAGAGAGATCCCCTGAAGGGTTTTATTGTAAATGTTGAAAAATGTAAATAGGAAAGTACACCCAAAAGAGATTCTGCTAAATTTTTGATGGATACCAATGCATTGGGAATCTTGCAAGATGTGGGTATATCTTATGTGAAAAATACAAGAATTCTTGTTTTACGATACATATATGTCCAGGAAATTAATATCCTATGTAGGCCCTCCGCCTTATAACATGAGCATCATTCACTGAGTATTCAACTCGTCTTTCAAAATAAGATTTTCTATTTTTTTTTTTCGTATTTTGAACATTTTTTTAAACTGCGAGTATATATATATATATATATATATATATATATATATATATATATATATATATATATATATATATATATAGAGAGAGAGAGAGAGAGAGAGAGAGAGAGAGATGATCATTTGAGAACTCAAAGTCTCCCGAAAACCCGAGAACTAAAGGTGGAGCGTTAGATCAAAATTTTGAATGGCTTAGATTGATCATGGCGTAATTGTAATTATCACTTGTTTCGATGGTATCTTAGACATTTTATAAATATTTACAAGGGCAAATTAGAAATTAAAAATATCAATCATAATAATCAATTTAACAAATTAAAAAAAAAACCACACACACAAACACGTGTTTCTCACTTTCTCTCTCATCTCTCAGGTTCTTCACGACTCCATCATCCGCCTCCTTCTGATGAATATCTCTTCATGCGATCTTTCCGCCACCGATTTCCGCCAAGGATACCGCCACATTGAGGATTGAATTCGACACACAGACTAAGGATTGACGATCAACTCCATCTACCGCCTTCCTCCTCCTTCCATCCTCCATCTCTACCTGTTCTGAAAAACAACAACGACTACCAATCCACGGTCCTCATCTGGCATATCAACGACGTCAAATCCACGATCCAAGAGATCTACTTCATTCATTTTTATGTTCGATTGCAACAATAAACCGTCGAATCGCATTTGTAGCTCACCTCTATCTGGCGAGGATCTTATACCGCCAATGCCTTCTTTTCCAATCGCACCTCCGACCGCCACAAATTACACAAACACCGTCACATATGGCTCCAACCTCCATAGTTCCCACCTATGTATCGATTATCAAGTAAGTATCATCAATCACTTCATGATTGAATCTGTTTTCATGACCTCGATCTGTTACATTGAAATGTTGTTAATCTGATTTACTTCAGTTTAATTCTATTCTTCCAATATTGTTTCACACAGAATACTCTTTGAATCAAAACCACTGATTTTCGCGAGAGTGGAGATCTCCTTGTTCTGCTCACCACCTGTTCGATGAAATGCCTCAGAGGGTTTTGGGTTCTTTTGAGCTCAGAAGAAGTGACATCACATGGAGATCATTCTTTTGCGAAAATTGGAATACATCAAGTGACATTTGCTCTAACTTGCATTCTCGTTTTCACTTTATCGAATATTGTTTTCATCATATATTACAGCAGTCTAGTTCCAAATGTTTTTGTGCCCTAAAATTCAACAAGCTTTTACAATATTTTCACTGTTTCTGATGCTTTGGTGTAGATCCCCCTTACCTTGAACCAATGTTTCTTGCTCATATCAGTTGGTTCTTTATCCCACTTCTTCTTAGATCACCTGTTTGAGGTAATATTTCTCTTCAGGTTTACATAATAGAGACAAAAATGATAAGAGTTATTAGTTGATGAGAGATCAAATATGGTAGGAAAATGGGCATTCAACCATGTACACTTGGATACTGAGTACTGGTTGGTGGAAAGGTCGTGCTCCTGTTAATCCAGACGTTGTTGTTGTAATTGGATTTCTCTGCACCTGCTTAATAATTGGCTTCATTCGAATAAACAAGTGCTTCTTTTTTACCTTATGATCTGAAATCTTAAACCACATATATGTTTTTGTCATATATCTTGATTTGGGGTTCAATCTAGATGGCTCCATTTGTGCCTCAATGGTAAGAGACTTGATAAACATTATTGAATTAGATCATATCTTTTGTGTGCATTAAACAAATTAATTGCATTATAATTTTTGAATCTTTTGTTCAGGTATGTTGCACTTGGTAAAATTCCCACACGCTATTTTCTCTACAAAGATGTGAACAGGAATCCACTATAATCATGTATGGAAGACAATGTAGATGGAGTTCAATTACTTTAGAATCTGATGGTTTATTGGAGTTGAAAGCTTCGGGTATCCAAATGAAGTTGTACACAGATTTGTGTATCAATCAACTATTATGTAAGTGGATTTGTATCTTGTTTCATCTGTTAAATGGATCATGAGTCGATGTGACTCCAAATTTCCCCATATTCATGTTATTACGATATAATTAAAAGAATCGTATTCTATTTTGTTACAACAATGAAAGTTTTTGAGGATAATGAAGTGATATATTTGAATTTTGCTAATCATTCTCACGTATCTATGCTGGTTATTTTGTATTTCTAGGGCCAAAATTCTGAATGGGTGAATGTGTACATCAGCAATTTGAACTCATCAAATGATGACTGGATTGGAGTTTTCTCCCCTGCCAATTTCAGGTTCTTATCATTTGTATTTTCTACTTTTGTCAATTTGTTTATTATACTTATAGCATGCAACTTACATTTGTTAATTAATTAATAAAAAATGCATTGCTATAATTACATATATTTCTTAAAGTATAATAATTTTGAGAACATATTTTTTGTCCCACCTTTTTAGGTGGGACAAAAAGTTGCAATTTTTATCCATCTTCGGATAAAAAATAGACCTGATAGTCTATTATTTTCAACATTCAACCTGCTTCCCTGAAAACTCAAGAGTCAGCCCTCCGTATTTATGCAGTGCACCTATTAAGGTTTGCTCTTTTATTTATGACATAGGTCCTAGATAGTTTTTGGATGTGCATTTTAAAATTGAGTAATCATTTTCTAAAAGATAGGGATATTTAGGAAATTTTACATATATCTCAATAATTAGTTATCTAGCAACAACTCGTTACATTATTATCCAAATTTGATTATTTTGTCGTATATAATATCCATTGTATTAATTTGGATGTGATTCATATATTTACATGTAAATCACATGTGATTCACATGTAGATCATATGTGATTCACATGTAAATCTCATGTGATTGACATATTAATCACATCCAAATCATATATGAATGATATGTGATTCACATGTAAATCACAAGTGAATTACATATGAATTACGTATATATGCACACATTCATATGTTAATCACATGAAAGTCACATGTAATTCACATATTAATCACATTCGATTCACATGTAAATCACATTTGATTCACATATAATTCACATGTAAATCACATGTAAATCATATGTGATTCACATGTAAATCACATGTGAATCACATATCATTTACATGTGAATCATATGCGATTCATATGTGACTCACATGCGATTCACATGTGAATCACATTTACATATGGTGTCATATGTAAATGTGATTCATATGGGAATCGTATGTGATTCATATGTGAATCGCATGTGATTCATATGTTAATCACATGAAAATCACATATGTAATTTTGTGAGTGTTTTTGCATCAATCATTTTTTTATATTTTCTTGTAGATTTGGAAGAAATTGTGGTGAATATTGAAGATGTGAAAAATGATAAATTGAAGAAAAATAAGGAAATATTGACACGAAGACATGAAAACGATTTGAAATTTGTAGCATTTTTTATTTTTTATATTTTATTTTGTATCAAATAAAATACTTGTACTATTATGTTTATAGATTAATTAATAAAAATGAGATTTTTTGTAATTTATTTACGAATATTATAGTACAAGAAATATACATATATGCATTTGAAAAAAAATATGCATATATGCACTTAAAATTTTACTTTTTAAAAAAAATGTAGTTGCAGTTTTTTTTTGAAAAAAATGTAACTTTCTTTAAAAAAAAACTTGCAATTTTTTTTTTTTGAAAAAATTGCAGTTTTTTATTTATAAATGCAGTTTTTTTTTAAAAAAATAGAGTTTATTTTTTTGAAAAAAATGCAGTTTTTTTAAAAAATTGCAGTTTTTAAAAAAAAATATTTTTTTCAATTTTTTTTCAAAATTCATGTTTTCTATAAAAAATTTAAAAATCTGCATTTTCTTTTAAAAAAACGAAAAATACTATATTTAAAAAAAATCTGAAAATTTGATTTATGATGTAAATTTTTAGACATTTATATTAATATATTAAATAACACCAAAAAATTAAACATTAAAGGGTAATATATTTTTTGATTTGTACACATTTGGTCATTGAGTTTTTTTTCGTCCACATTTACCCCTTCAACTTGTTAAACTGTACACATTCAGTCATTATGACCGGTTACTCCAGGTTAGCCGGAAAAAATGACTTAATAGGGTAATGTATTTCTCATTTTGTACACATTTAATCCTTAATATTTTTGTACAGATTTAGTCCTTGATATTTTTTTGTTTAAAAATAAGTCTCTTTTTGTTTCATACTCATTAAGTACTTATGAATAATTTCTTTAAGGTTTTTCTCATCCCTTGGTTGCAAGGTCTTGTGTTCTGAACGTCATAACTTCTTTATATGATATCAGATTTTAATGATCTTTATACCCACGTATTAGTTTTTTGAGTATACTATAACTTTCGTTAAGATTACTCATGTTAAAATGTTATATATTTTTACTTACGGTTTTATAAAAAAAAATCCATACATGCATTCATAAAAAACATATGGATATAAAGATCGTAAGTAAAAAATATATTACTTTTTAATGGGAGTAATCTAAACGAAAGTTTAGACTAAAATACGAACGCATGGATATTAAGATCGTTAAAATCCGAGATCGTATGAAAAAGTTATAACGTTCGGAATACATGACCTAAGCAACCAAGTAGTCGAGATCGCGATG